ACACATTCACGTATTCTCGCCATCGGAAATGAAAGTGGGTATCATATATAGGAAATGGATCGAAACTGCAACCCATAATAATTCCTTTGTAGTAGAATTATTTAGATCCCCGATACCAGCTGCGCCACCAAGGGGAAATTAAAAAAAAAAAAAAAACGGCCTTCTGATTTCCCCATTTTGGAGAAGTAAAAGTGTAAAACAAATGAACCCCTTCAAATATTCAATTCATGTCTTTGTGGCTCAGTTGGGCTTTAGTAAATACAGTCAGTCGTTGTCATTGATCCACAATCTCATGTATCTATCCATTACATATAAAAACCATCTTGATCAAATGTATGAAGCTCCAAATAATTTAAACCCTGAATTAAAAGTTGAGAGATATAAGAACAGTGAACAAGTTCATCCATCAGCAACTAAGATTTTGAAATATTTTTGAGATCATTTTCATTACTATTGTTCTTGTAATGGGATAAAAAATTGAGACCAAAATATCAAGGACCATTTTTTAAGGGTAATATGTGTGCAGTCTCCCTCAAAATTCGTAAGGCTGTGTTTGGAAATGATGTAAATAAGTGTGAATGCATATATATAGTGTAAAACGGTCCATATAAATTGCAAAATTGGGTTACTTTTGCACTGACAAATTTACCTTCTTACCAAACAGACTTTTAATTGTAATGGATGCAAACATGAATTCCAATAAAACATGCATTTTTTTTTATCAAAAGTCCACTTGAATGCAAATTTACTTCTTTTTTGTTGATGTACTTTTACATCTTATTATCAATGTAAATATACATTGAAAAATGTGTTTTCCGTCATTTGTCAATGCAAAAATGTAATGTAACCAAACACAGGCAAAAGTAAACTAGAGTGCAAATTTACCCTGAACCAAGATTTACACTCCATTTTTTTTTATCAATAACAGATTCATTAAATTCATTAAAACAGCATAAGAATAATTACAACAAAGAAGACAAACACTCTTATCTTCCAAATACAACTAAATCCTCAAAAAGAAAAGAAAAAGAAAAGAAGAAACAGTTAAGTTACAACTTGGCTCAGAACATTGCATCCCTTTCTATCCCTTGTTTAGCTAATCCATCAACTATAGAGTTGGCTGTTCTTTTAACCCAACTCATCCTGACTTCCATTTCCTGCACCAGCCACTTGAATTTCCTCCTCTCATTATTGTACTTCCATAAATCATTCTGATCTTTAGTCAGCCACCCTATCACCACCTCCGAATCCCCTTCAATTATGAGATTTCTGACATTCATCTCCTTAGCTTTCTAGACTCCTTCCATAACTACCAAGATCTCAGCTCTAAGGGAATCCCCCACTCCAATTGGGCCTGAGAACATGGCAGAAATGATCATGTTCTCATCCCTAAAAGCACCCCCAATCCCTGATTATCCAGGATTCCCCCTACAACTCCCATCAAAGTTTAATTTTAAAAAACCAACAGGTGGGGGGGAGGGGGAGGGGGGTCCAAGACACCCTCACTACTGATTTGGTCTGTGTGCAATTTGCAATCTCACCCCACTTCGTCAACATGTCATCCACATAACTTTAAAGATTTCAGCCACTGTATAGCCCTTATATGGATCACAACCCTCAATTCTTCAGCCCCTCTCTCATCTTCTGAGAATATCCTAAGATTTCTTTCTTCCCATAATGACCAACATACTACACCCCTCAGTCCTTTCCTCCACATAGTCCTTCTCCTTTTCATTCGCCACCTAAAAAAAGAAGGGGGAAAATAGACTCTACAAATCTGATGGAGGGTTCCACCTACGCCCAAAGAGAGAAAATGCCCACTCCCAAATTGACTTTGCAAATTGGCAAGACACCAGTAAGTGAAAACCAGTCTCCCCATCCACTTTGCAAAGAACACACCAATGGGGCGACAAGCAAGTACTGAGTCTCTTCTTTTTGTAGCAAATCACCAGTGTTGAATCTTTCCAGATAGGCTTCCCAACAAAAACTACCAACCCTAAGAGGAATTGGTCTGCACCAAACCTCATTAACCGGGAAAGGGGAGGTTGTAGGGCTGGTGGACTGGCAATAGACTTTGAAGAAGGAAGCACAAGAAAAAGAGCCCGTGGGGGTAGGGGTCCAAATTCTAGAGTCCACCTTAGAGGGGTCTAAGAAAAACATTATCAAGAAATTCAAGGAGGCTCAAAATACTATAGAGGTGTGAGTCCCTCATAGCCCTCCTCAGACCCAGGTTCCACCCAAACCCAGAACTGGAAGAGGAAGGGGTGATGAAAGAATAAATTGGCTTATTTTTAAAGTCAGAGAGAGCATACAAAGAAGGAAACTGGTCCTTGAGAGGAACATTCCCCACCCAAGTTTGTTCCTAGAATTTTGTGTAATTACCTGAATTCAAATCATACCTGACAAGTGGGGAGAAGACTGGAAGCAAATCATGAATGGCTTTCCAAGGTGAAGTGCTTGTGGTCCTTGCTCTGATTCCAGCATCCCATCCATTTTCCATAGCTTCTCCTGCTCCAGAGGAAACCTCCACAACCACTTCCCCAAGAGGGTCGAGTTCCTTCTCCCGATGCTCCCAAGCCCCAAACCACCATAAGCTTTACTCCTGGTCACCACTTTCCAACTAACTCTATGGTCCCTCTTCTCCTCTCACAGCTCCCAAAGGAAATCTCTCATCAACCTCTCCAACCTACTGAAAACCTTCATTGGAATTTTGAACATTGAAAGGAAATAAATGGGTAAGTTTGCTAGCGTGGCCTTGATTAGTGTAGTCCTTCCACCAAGAGAGAGGTAATTCTTTTTCCAAGAGACAAGTCTTTTCAATTTTTTCCACCACCGGGTTCCAAAAGCTCCCTCTCTTAGGATTATCACCTAAGGGCAACCCTAAATAATTCATAGTTCACCCTGAAACTTCACACCCAAACACTTCTACATTCTCCCTAATCTCTCCCTCCTCCACATTCACACCCACTACACAACTTTTCCCGAAATTCACTTTCAAGTTTGGCATTTGCTCAAAGAGTTGAATCATCAGTTTCAAGTTCCTAATGAAACTCACATTACCTCCTTCACAAAACAGGATCGTATCATCAGCAAACTGTGAGTAAGTGGGATGTCCTCCCTTCCAACCTCTAATAAGGCCCCTAGAATCTACTCTGTGGATCAGTCTCCCCAGTACATCAGCAACTAGTAAGAACAAAAAAGGAGATAAGGGGTCTCCCTGAATAATGACAATTCCAAACACACCTCATGATCCATTTGCACCATCTAGCCCCAAACTCCAATTTGGTCATAACTTTCCTCAAAAATTCTCAATCCACTATGTTATAACCCTTCTCCATATCCGGCTTACAAACCACTCCCTTCTTTTTATCCTTCTTAAAACTCTCTACACTCTCATTAACAATGAGGATTTGATCAATAATCTGTCTTTCACTCACAAAGGCACCTTGATTTTGTTCAATTATATCTGGTAATACCTTCTTCAGTCTCAAAGATAACACCTTTGCAAAGATCTTGTACAAACTATTTACCAGACTAATTGGTCTGAAGTCCCTTGGATGTAAGGCTTCTTTCTTTTTGGGAATCAAAGTTGTAAAGGTAGAATTCACCCCCGAATTAACAATTCCTTTCCTATGAAACTCCTCAAAAACCAACAGAAGGTCATCTTTCAAAATATCCCAACAATCTTGATAAAAAGCCATTGTGAACCCATCCAGCCCTGGAGCTTTTGTTCTATCCATAGAAAACACAACTTCCTTAATCTCTTTCAAGTCAAACTTCCTCTCTAAACTTCTCTTGTTGTCCCCCCACATCTGGCCAGTCCAATC